GCCCTTGACCTGTAAGTCCACTCATCAAGTATGCTGGATTTCATCTCACATGTGGTCCAGTCATCGTGGAGAATATCAGAATGCGCTCTCGATATTTATGTCACTTCCTGCTCACTATGCACCCCACATGTGGTCATCTCTTGAGGCTTTCATGTTATCAAGAGCCCTTGATACGCACACCGACTATCAACAAGAAAAGGATACAGAATGGATCCACATTCTTCTTTCGTTCCTCAAATCCTATGTCGACAATCTGGGTGCAGAATTGTTGATGCATGAAAAAGATCAAGTAGAATACATCACCAGGCTTGTAGAAAATCTTCATCAGGCTGCTGCGAAGCTCGACTCAGGTATACTTGTCATCAGACAAATTGAGATCATGATGACATATAGTGTTCTTCGTAGATTTGACACATCCGAATCATCCTGCCGTAACGCTGAAAGTGTCTCCAAATGCTCGAATAGCGGAGACGAAGGACGGCTGTTTCCTGGACGTGACGACACAAAACCATCTACCCTGTGTAAGGTAACTTCTAAGCAGTAATTTAACATCGCTGACTGTGGAAGGCAACGTAGGTCCTTCCAGCAGACGCAATTAACGTTGTCCTTGCAGGTAGAGATTCAGAACGATGTACATTCTCTGCACCCGTTACAGGGTTACCACCGGGAAAGACAACGCTTACCCTTTTTTGTCCCGTAAGTTGTCCCGGCTTCGTCCACTACGATTCTTTGATGTTTTGCTCCAGGCCGCGGCAGCAGGAACCTACCTACTTGACTCTAGTGAGCTGCGTGTGGCAAAGCTATGCCTCCAATGGCAGCATAGGAAACCTCCTAAAGCATTCTCAACGCGAAAAGAAACGCCTGTTCTTGTATACGTACCAAAAGATCTACTTGCATTGGATGTGAACGTCAGTCAACCTGATAAAAGTAACATTTTCTTCTTTTTCATCTTGTGATTTTTTGATCGCAACGCCTCTGGCGCAGTTGAACTTGGTGAACCTCCAACGCTTCTTGTCACTGTATCCACCGGCCGCAATCATACAAAGAAAGCCATTGTCAAGCTTGCTTCGTCTGGTGTGACCTTCCGGCCAATGGATGCGTACTACAGCGGAGGTGTGGAACCTTTGCTTGAGCGTTGGTCTATCAAGTTGACAGTGTGGCCGTAGAGAAGAGATCTGAGCAGCTACAGGTCGTCGATAACTCCATCATCCTCGAGGACATTCCCGCACACTCGACCATTTCATTCATGATACCTCACTCCGACACTTCAGCTTTCCAGGCGATGGTACAGATTTTTGACTTGCTTGATATCATATGCTGCTGACCGAGACAACAGAAAATTACCACGGAGGTTGAGTATTTGACTGTACCCGAGCCATCACTCTCTCGGACAATACGGATGACTCAAGTCATTCTGACTACCCTTCCAATATCCGTCAACGTTGAAGATTTCTTCCGTGGCTCTCGGTATGGAATTGACATGACTTCTGCACCTCCAGTCTCAATACGGTTCTTTTCAGGCTCTTTTCCAAATTTACGATATCAACAACAAGTCACCAACATGTACGGATATGTGCTGCTGAACTGATGACTCAGAAAGACGGACTCGATGGAGTCAAGATCTCGTCGACCGCGACCAAGAATCGCTCAGTGGTGGTATAGTATTCCTAACTTGTTTGGAAGGATCTCGGTGACCTTCGGGTTCTATTCAGACTGTCACTCCTGCTCAACCGGTTAATTTCTTGTTCCACATCGATTCTGCTCATGGCCCGGGTCTGTCGAATTCCAAATGGGCTTGACTGTGACTAACTTTTCTCCCAGTTCACGAATCGTTAATCCTACGAATACGATATCGCATGTTACGGGAAGGTACACCATTTTTCCCGCCGGAGTCTGTCGGGCTACTCATTGTTCATAGAGGTCGAGGCTGTAGTGAACCAAACTGTCGCGAAAGTGGTCGTAGAATCGCCCACCCCTCATCAGCACCGCGCAGCTCTCATAAATCAGCTTGTCGAGGCATTGGAAGGCGATGCCGGATGGGTCGGCCTGTATGGGATAACAGGGGAACTCAAGGTCCCTGATACTCCCAAGGACGCAGCGAACAAAGAGACTGCCGAGTTGCTCAAAAAGGCGAAGGAGGTTCGATCCTCCGCAAATACCTTTACGCATTGATGTGACACTTCGATCTAGCTTCTCAAAGACCATAGACACCCTTGTCCGCCTGAAGGGAAATGGAGGGAGATTACAATACCAGTCGATGTGCCGCATATGAACGTATGGTTGAATCTGATAACTTATCTTACCTTTCGTGGTTAATTCCATTATCATCCAGATCGTGGCTTCTGTCAGCCTCCAAATTCTATCGACACCGTTCAGCGACTCGTCTGTGAAGACAGGTTCCTTACCTCCTCTATATGCAGGGCAACCGATGTCTGCGACCATTTCAATCCGTACGTCCTTCCACTGGGGCTCCGGTGCGGGGAACAAGGAACATCGATACATGCTGAGATACGACGTGGAGGAGATGGTACGCGACTGGCTCGTGAGTGGACCAAAACGCGGGGACTTTACTGCTGCAGTAAGTTGTCTCGTCACAATCCATGGTGCTGAACGATCATATTTGCCTTTTGAAACAGGATGGGGAGACGAAGGTAGTGCCTATAACACTCATCGCGCTTCATCATGGGGAGTTGGCGTTGCCTAAGGTGTCAGTTACAGCGCTGCCATTGGCAGGCGAGTTGACGATGGGTTCGATGGCGATACCTAGTATAGAGACGTTTCAGATCCATGGAGCTGAGACGGTGCTGGTTCTTCCTCGGGGTGGTAGGAGCACATTTGTCCTTAACATGGGCTCCAATTGCAATTAGTTTTGTTTACCTGTGTATGTTGTTCTCTAGACTTTTGGGCAGTAGTGAGCAGAGGTTTTTTTTTCCGTGGAGCAGAGTGATGATCGAGTCGCCATGCGATAGAAGGTATCGTTGAAAGCTTTGTGGACAATCTTGTGGTGAAGCTTGTGGTGAAGCCTGAATGGAAGTAAAAAGCGTCACCTGAGCGATTCGAACACTCGCGCACAAAGTGCAACCGCTTGAATGTATAGCAGGCGATCCCGTTAACCACTCCGGCAAAGTGACTGTGACAATCACGTTGAATGATATTATCAGGAATGCGATGTGTCAAGGCGGAAAGTCGAAACTATGGACAAATTCATATTTTATATGGTTCATTTGAGACGATCCTTCGTGAGTCGTTCGCCTTATTGTAATCACGGCTGTTGTCCCTTTGTAATACCTCACTCGATTTATTCGCTCAAAGCAAAGTCGAATGACCAGAAATCGATCATATACATGCCAGATAAACGATGTCAGACTCAGATAAAAATCGATTCTATTAATAGACGGTATCATTCAAAACATTGCGACAAAACTAATACACTCCCATATCAAGTTTACGGATATGCCGTTCTTTGTCCTGCATAATGGACATTCACCCTTCGGCTCAATAGCCTTAGATATGCATCTTCGGAGGAAGGAAGAAAAAAAGAGCATGAGTGATTTGAATCAATTAAGTAAGTGGAAGGTTTTTACTCACGGTATGCAGAAAAGATGGTCACAGCGATGCGACGGACTTTGGGTGACTGAGGCAGACTGGGCAATAGTATGAGCGTGATACGCTCGGGACACCACGGTTACGGCGAGCTATGAAGTTCTAAGACGCAAAGTTAGCAAAAGTAGGGAAAAGGGGAATAGTATAACTGACCAGCATTGCCTGTCTGCGCTGTACGTTCGCCAACCTCTTGTCTTCCTCATGGTCGGTCGTAAATTTCTCCTCGACCTGCCTAGCACACGCTTCCCTCTCGATCTGTCCAGCAAGTTCCTCCTCCCATCCATCTGGACAATCATCGACTGCATCCTCCTCGTCGTCGTCTGAATCATCTGAGTGACGGATAGAGTGCTGGAGATGCACGTTCAGCGCTGTGTATGTCTTGAAGAGTTTATCACAGACATCGCAATAGATGTGGTTACAAGACATCGCATAGTGTTAAGCGGGGAAGGAAAGGTGGGGATTATATAAAATCGTGTGGCGCATGGCGCATGCGAATTTACTTACTTACTTTTCTGCGGGAGTTTCTGTTTAGGAACGCACGGTTGCAGGGCTTACAGCGCGGGTGGATATTAGATGTTTGGATGTGCTGCAGCAGTTCTGGGAGCGATTTAAAGTATTGATCGCACAGTGTGCAGTACATTGTCTCATTGAGCACAACGGGGTCGAGATGCGATGAAGACATTGTTTAGTTGTAGAAGAAAAAATCAGAGATGACAATCAGGAGGTCAAGTTCGATGGTCAAATTGGTGACTTGTCGTCGTCGACGACACGACGAAACGGCTCGCCTTTTATATCTTTTTTTCGCCACCTCCTTTTTACGAACTCACTCTTCCCCGAACGTCGCAACGCCACTGCATCATATTTCGCCACACGCACTCTTATTCAAGTGGGTCGTTTAGCGTTGTGTCGCGCCAAAGAACACATACTGCTCCAACTTGAACACAGCCTGCGGATCGATATCGAGGGGGCCCTTGAAGGTACTTACAAGGGGCTTTGCAGAGAATGAAGCCTGAGTTTTTGTGAGCTCGAGAGAGAGGAGTATATACATACATGATGTGAAGAGCCGGATGAGAGAATATGAATATGATGAGATCAGAATCGAATTAAGAGCCAAACCAGAAAAGTGCCCTTCAATCTTCTCATGTTCAGATTGCTCTGAGGAGGAAACCTGATCCCAATGACGAGCCTGAAAAAATACTTACTTACGTATGGGCGGCGGTGGCCTGGGCGTTTTTGTAACCCTCAACGCTTCAAGTTTCGTTTCGAAAGACTGAGATATGTACACAGTCCACACCAAGACCAAGTGTGTAGTGTGTAGTGCATACACACTAACCCCCCATCACCAAAAAAAAAACAAAAAAACAAAAAAACAAAAAAAAACAAAAACAAAGAAAAAGCGTCACCTGAGCGATTCGAACACTCGCGCACAAAGTGCAACCGCTTTGAAACATGTACAGCAGGCGCTTGAACGTGTATAGCAGGCGATCCCGTTAACCACTCCGGCAAAGTGACCATGGTCGATCATTGATCAATTTCGGAGGGAAGGAAGGGAAGGGAAGGGTCGCGCACTAACCAGTCGGGACCCACCGTTGTGCGCTACTGTGATATTTGGGTGAGATGAGTGTGTGTGTGTGGTAGTAGGCATAGCCCCTTAAGAGATTCGAGGGATGTATGTATCCCGTCCGACAGGAGACGATCTGGCATCGTACGTATTCATATCGGCCCGTCAGCCGTCCGCCGTCGGCGGTCGAACTGAAGAACTCGATGATCGATGATCCGTAGTACTAGTCTAGAGTCGGATCGCAGAACATGCAATGCAATGCACACTCGTGCCTCAAACATATACTGCTGCTGCTGCTATATACAACTCCAGAAATCCAGAATCCAGAATCCAGTATCCTGAGTCTTGAATCCAATCCAGAATCACAGACAGTCAGACATAGTTCCATATATATCAATACATCGATACATCGAAACAATCACTCCCAATGCCTACTTACTCCCTCACAAGTCCTACTGTATCACGAATGACAGGACAGGCTCCTTCCCTCCAGATCCAACTTCCCTCCTAAGCCAATTTCCCACACGGACAAAGAACGTATTATCTATGTATGTAGACCCTGTCACCTGTCACCATCCTCCATTCCACCCAAAACCCAAAACCCAAAAAAATCCTCAAAAACACACCGTCACCTGAGCGATTCGAACACTCGCGGGCAAAGCCCAACCGCTCTCGTACAATCCTGTTGTTCTGTGCTGTGGATCTTAGCAGGCGATCCCGTTAACCACTCCGGCAAAGTGACGACAGTTATGAGTGGGAGTTGCTTGCATGCGTACGTAATTGCCAGATTAGGCCAGTCCAGAATGTCACGCCGCTCGGCCCGACGAATGATAAAAATTCCGTCACCTGAGCGATTCGAACACTCGCGGGCAAAGCCCAACCGCTTAGCAGGCGATCCCGTTAACCACTCCGGCAAAGTGACTTGCGGAGAATTCCTAAGCGCCAGTAGTCTAGGCGTGTGTCGATGATACAGGGATGAACATTACTCGTTATACGATAACTATAAATTTTCTACGCCGTCGTCTCCTGTTCAATAAACTCGCGCATGTACGCCACGAGCTTGTCCACCCACTCTTCAGTGACAGCATTATAAAGCGACGCCCTCATCCCCCCGACAGATCTACAACAAAACAAATCAGGCCAACGAAAACACACACAAAACGCGCCACACGCACCGATGGCCTTTGAGCCCCTTGAGCCCCCTCTGCTCCGCGCCGTCCAAAAACCTCTTCTCCGCGCCGTCGCCACACACGCCAAACGTCACATTCATCCAGCTGCCCTGGCCCCTCCTCACCTTGGGCCTAAACACGCCCCTCCGCTCGCCCTCCCACAGCACCGCATAAACGCTGTCCATCTTCCTCCTGTTCACCTCCTCGCACCCCTGGACGCCGCCAAGCGCCGCCATGCGCTCCAGCACGAGCCCCACGACGTACACCGCAAACACGCTGGGCGTGTTGGGCATGGAGTCCTGTGCGGCGTACGGGGCGTACGCGAGGGACACGGGGACGGGGTAGCCGCCGAAGGGCAGGGCGGCGTCGACGTCGACGATGCAGTCTTTACGGACGATGACGATGCTGGTGCCGGCGGGGCCGAGGTTCTTTTGTGCGCCGGCGAATATGACGGCGTGGTCTGCGAGGCGGGGGATGGGGCGGCTCATGAACGAGGAGGAGTAGTCTGCGACGAGGGGGAGGAGGGGCTCGGTGGGGAGGAGGTGGAACGGGAAGGCGTCGGGGCCGTCTGTGTGGGAGAACTGGGTGCCCGAGACGGTCTCGTTCTCGCAGTAGTAGATGAGGACGGGGTTGGGGGAGAAGGAGTAGGCGGCGTGCGGCGGGAGGCCGTCGAATGATTTGCGGTCTGCAGAGTGGGCGCGGGAGTCTGCGGCGATGCGGACGGTGGCGCCGTGGGCGAGGCGCGTGGCTTCGGTGTACGAGGCTTGGGACCATGTGCCGCTGAGGACGTAGTCGAGCACGCGGTCTTTTTCGTCCATGGCAGGATGGAGCAGGCGGTGGCGCGCGAGGAGGTTGAGCACGACGGCCGAGAACTGGGCCGTCCCCCCGCCCTGCATGAAGAGGATCTCGTGGGTCGGGGGCACGTCGAGCTGCTCGCGGATGAGCTGGGCGGTGTGTCTGATGTACGCGTTGAACTCTGCGGAGCGATGCGAGATTTCGGCGATGCCGATGCCTGTGTTGTTGAAGTTGAGCAGGCCCTGTGCGGCCTCGACGAGCACAGACTCGGGCAGCGCAGACGGCCCCGCTCCAAAGTTGGCCAGCCGGTTTGCTGCCATCGACGCAGGAGTCAAAAAAGTCACGGTCACGGGTAACATTGGAAATACATTTCTGGGATATTCTATACGAGTACACTACTAGATGTATGGAAACAGAGATTGAGAGATATTGCGTGCGATGTGAGAATGCAGAGATGCGACGAAAGCTTGAGTACAGATACAGACGGGCAGCGAAGCCGGGAACGAAGGCTGAGGATGCGAACAAAGGCTGGAGGCGAAGGCTGGAGGCGAAGGCTGGAGAATGCGAACGAGGGCTAAGAATGCGAACAAAGGCTGGAGGCGAAGGCTAAGAATGCGATGGAACAACGAAGGCTGATAATGTGAGATCAATGGGTTTGCAAATGCGAACAATGCGGCTGCAAATGCGATCAACGGGGCGCAAATGCGAACTCGTCGTCGCAGAGCACAGGCATGAGATTGTGGAAGCGCACCCGCGACGGGACAAAGCGCGACGGGGGCGTGGTTGGACGCGACGGGGGGGTGCTGGGGCACGGCGGCGGTGTCTGGACGAGATCCGGCACAGGGCGACGGGGATCTGGGATCTGTGAGAGATCGGCAATGTCGGCGAGGGCGCTGCTGGGTGTGGCGTCGAGCGCGGCCAGCCACGGCAGCGCGTCGAACGGATGGTCTGGCAATGGGCCACGCACGGCCGGGCGGCGGCGGCTCGAGTACGGCTTTGTGCGGCGGCGCGTCGACGTCGGGCACGCGCGCCGGGGTTTCGGCAGGTCGGCAGGCGCGACGAGCAGCGGGCGGGGGGCGACGATGGCAGGCATTTGCGGGCGCTGCGGGCGAGTGTCCTTCTTATATCATCGCCCGAGACAAGGCCAAAAATGGTCACGCCCACAATGCAATCATTTGCCTCCGAGTCTCGGCTCCCATTGTTCTTTTTCTCATTCAACTCCCCCTTCAGGACCATCATTGCCTCAAGTGAAAACAATACAAAATTCAAGTCCTGACTCGGCGTCGTCTGCCCCATATGTAGCACAATTATGCAGACAATTCCTCAAAACAAGTCATCAATGTACTATCACGAGCCATGCCAGCACTTGATTGATATCACATACTAATACCGCCCCAATCTCTCCGGGACCGCGTATGTAGCACATCCACAACAGTTCCCACATCGAGAACCGAGGCGGTACACTCGCGCTGCGGATCTGACTCGGGGTTTATTCTCCATCTCCATCTCCATTTTCGTCTTCACCCCCAATACATCTAAAGAACATCAAAAATCCAACGAATCAATCAATGTTTCACGTCTAATCATGTAGGAGCCGTAAAGTCGGCGCATGCTATGCTATACTATACCACCTGCACACATCAAGATCAAAAATTCCAAACCCCCAGAACGTACGTACGCCATTCATCATACATCATGCGCTCCTCATCTATGTACGTATGTTTCAGAACGCAGTAGGTCCTCTTGCTTTCCATTCCTCGATGGTGTGTATACATACATACATAGATAACACCCCCCACGGGTAGCTTTCTTTTTCTTATCATCTCAGTGTGTGTGACGACGACGAGTTTCGGGGTTCTCCCATGTATATCTCGGACTTGCGTTTACATTCCTCGATAGTGTGTATGCATAAATACACCTCAGGTGCGGCGGTTCACGCCGATAGTTATGTACGATATGAGATAGAATGCATTTCCATGGGGTAACGGAACTCGTCGCTTATCACCATCACCTCATCTGCAGACGAAACCCAATCAAAGCCAGACAAGCTGTAACAAAAAAAAGCAAACAACGTTGAGACTAAAAAAAACAACTATGTAGATGATGCATGCAAATGGGGGTGAGGGGGGGGGCGTTGATACAAATGATGTATTGGAAGATCGGATAACCAACAGACGACAACAAGAAACGAAAGAGAGCACCCGTCCCAACCATCTAGTCGATCTCCTCCATTGCTGACGTAGACGCCGCCTCAGCCGCCGGTGTTTCAGTGACGATGGGCTCAGCAGCAGTCTCCTCGTCCTCATCGACATCAAGTCCCAGACTAGTCGAATCATCAATCAATCAATCAGCAAGCACAGTGAAAAAGAAAAAGCAAGACGTACGCAATCATACGGTGGATGCGCTTAGCGAATGATGTGGGCTCGTCGAGGACGAAGCCAGAGGTGAGCAGGGCAGTCTCAAAGAGGAGGAAGGTAAGGTCCCGCACGGACTTGTCGGCCTTGTCCTCTGCAACCTTCCGCTTGAGCTCCTTGACGATAGCGTTGCTGGGGTTGAGCTCAAGTGTCTTCTTCGATGCCATGTATGACGACATCGACGAATCACGGAGGGCCTGTGCTTTCATTATACGCTCCTACACACAAATCATTCAGCACCAATATCTACTTGCGGAGGAAGGAGCCAACGCACCATGTTAGACGACCAACCAAACTGGCCAGTGACGAGCACGCAGGGCGAGTCAACGATACGGTTGGAGATGACGACCTTCTCGACCTTGTCACCGAGCGCTTCCTTGACGACAGTGCACAGATCAGTGAACGCAGTGACCTCGGCCTCGCGAGCTGCCTTCTCCTCATCAGTCTCCTCGAGCTCGAGACCCTCCTTCGACACGCAGACGAGCTTCTTGCCCTCAAACTCCTTGAGCTGGGTGATGGCGTACTCGTCAATAGGGTCAACGAGGAGCAGGACTTCGAAACCCTTCTTCTTGA